TTAAACACTCTACCTTTAATTAATTACAATATTCAAGGTAATTCATATTTTCCCAATAAAAATTAATTATATTATACATTTCAGTACTAAATAATATTAATAATAATAATCATAATAGTTATAATGATAATGACCCATATATCATAATAATAATAATGACATATATCATGTGATCAATGATATTATCAATTATATGTTGAAGTAATAAATAATATTAATAATTGAAATGAGCGAATAATGTATGAAATAAAGAATGATAATGAATATTTGCATGCGATAATAATATTATTTATTAAGTAATGAATTTCATAAAATGTTAAAATATGCATAAAATGTGAATAAATTTCAAATAAATATATGTAAATATTTGATAGAAATGACAATAAAAATTTAACTTTTAAATATTTCTAACATATTTGTCTTTTTCTTTTTATTTAATAAATAATTTTATAATGAAGTAAAATATTTTAAAGATAGAATAATATATGATAAGGTGATGATTATTTCATTTTTTAATTTTTTATATCTTTCATAAATGATATTTGCAAGAGATAATTTAGAACTTTCTTAAAAATATTTATTGTTTTTTTTTTAAAAATTATATCTTTATTAAAAATACTTTTCATATTACTCTGAGAAATATTTTTCATTTTTTAACATCTTTGTATTTTGCCAATGATAAATTATATAAGTGAGTAAAAAGGTTATCAATGATATAAATATTACTGATTTGACTTAAGAAATCAATGATGAATTAAATACATTATTTGTAATTTGATGAATGTACGGGGAAAAAAATTAGATTTGAAATATTGTCATTAATAATTACTTTCATATAATTTAGTAATTTCACAAGATTTATTGTTTCCTATTATAATTTTAAAAAAAATTTACTAAAATTTCGAAACAAATCCAAAAAATGAGTAAATAAATGATTGAAATTTCAAAAATAAAAAAAAAGTTAAAATGAGTAAATAAACTTTTTTCCTTTTTTTTTTGTTCAGAATAAAATTTGAATTAAAAAATCGAATTATTTCTTATCAAAAAAAAAAAAAATTTTTTTTTTATTTATAATAAATAACTAACCGATGTAAAACATTTCCACTATGCAAGAAACGTACAGCTCGAAATAATTGGCACATAATATATTGTTTATGAATATCCTTTAAAATTGTTAATTTTTTAATTACATTATGTAAATCAGCTTCCATGAATTCAAATACCAAATAAATATCCCTGAAAATGTATAAATATAAATTAGGTCAAAAGAAAAGAAAGGAATCATTAAAGCATAGTTTTAATTATAACATTTTAACATTTTCATTTCAATAATTTTAATTGCACAATTTATAATTGCATTATTTTTATCATTGCTAAGTTTAAAAGCTTAAATAGATTTATATTAGCTAGAATAATCTCAGAGTAATAAAATTTTATTACAAAATTATAAATGTTAATTTATTATTATTTAAATAACAACGGATAACTAGCACAAATACCATTTTATAAATTAAATTTTTCATTTTTTAAATTAACAAAATAGAACTTTCTAAAAATTTGCGATAATCAATTTCGTTCTTCCTTTTTTTCCCCAATTATAGTTGTATTTTTGCATGCAGCATGCAAATGCAACATTATATGCATTGTTCAGATTATTGCAAATGTAGCATTATATGCATTATATTCTTTTTTTTGCATGCAGCATGCAAATGCAGCATTATATGCATTATTCAGATAATTTGACAATTTCGACTTTTGCTGATAAATTGTCTAAAAAAAAAAAAAAAATGGTACAACGGATGAAAATTTTGAAAAATATTTTTCACATAAATTTTTTTCTTTTGAATTTAAAATTCTCATGGGAAAAATGACACAAAAAAAAAGAGGAACAATATAAAAGTTATAAATTGCCAGTGAAAAAAAATCAAATGACAAATAAACAAATTGTCGCCCTTTTTTTTTTTAAATTTTTGTAAAATAAAATAAAAACGATGTCAATATAATGTATCCTATCAAAAAAAAAAAGAAAAATTAATTAGTAATTATTGCATTTGATGAAGTAAGTAATTTTAAAATACAAAAAAAAAGAAGAGAAAAGAAAATTGGACATTTTCAAATTGTCACAGCTATTGAATTTTTTTATTTGCTGCAACAATAAGAATAAAATTCAAAAACTGATGCTTATCAAATTAGCATCCTTGTAAATTACTTTTCATTTTATTTGATTTTTTCTAATAAAATAATCCATTAAAATTATATGTTAATAAAAATCGAATTTACAAATTATAATTTGATGATAACTTTTTTGTTTTATCACCTTTATCATATTTTGATAGCTTCTTTTCATTGAAAAATAATTAATAAATAATTTAAATCTTTCATTTTTCCCACGTATCTTGCATAAATTTTATTGATTTTCTTTTTTTTTCTTTTTAAAGAACTATTATTCGAATTTTTTTCATTTCATTTTCAACATTTAGTCATTAGCTAAATATTTCCATTAATTTAATCAATGAAATATAATGAAAAAAAAATATATATTTTTAGCATTTTATGTTTTGAATTTCTTTTAAATGATATCAGCTAATATCTGCTATTTTTATCATACCTGTTATCAGACATACCTGTTATTATCAGCTTTAAGAACATTATATAGTTTGATGATATTTGGATGTCGTCCGAATTCTAGCAAAAGCATTACTTCCCGAAATGTTCGCTGTGCATCGGTCTGATTCCGGAAAGCATCAAAAATTTTTTTTAATGCTACCGTTTCACGTACTCGTCTGCAATTCATTTCTTTTTTTTTTTTGAAAAATTTAACAAAATTCTATTCCTATTTTCCATCATATTTTGCTAGTTTTCTGTAAATTTAAAATTCAGAAATATTTCAAATATTAAATTTAAAATGTTTTTATCAGAAAAAAATTACTTTCTGAAATTTATCCTCAAAAAAATAATCAGAATTAGAATTTAAATTTGTTGCATTTATAGCACTATTGCTAATTACTTTTAGAATATAAATACAATTAATTTAAACGTGTACGTGTATTTTAACGTGTATAAATTACGTAAATGAATATGAAAAAATATGAAATTTATAAAAAAAAAAGATTAAATTCCTTTGTAAGTTTTTTTTCCGTTTCATTTAGAAGAACTTGAAAGAATTTTAAAAAGAAAAAAACAAAAATTCTTGTTTTTTCATCTTTT